AAAAATGTTTCCATGTGTCAGCCTATTGCAGTCCTTCTTTTTGTCTGTCAAGCCTCTAGGCAGTTTTGGTATTTAGTATGGTATAACAACATTCAAACTGAGTGCGTGGGAGTTACGATTGTGATTTTCTAATGACCAACCAACCAGCAAGAATTCAGCCTCTTGCCATACCACTGAGATACTCGTTGATGCACATGCTGTTCGTTGATCTGAATGGTGTACCTTTCCAAGGATACTCTGCATGGAAGCTGTTACATATCAGGATGACAAAGTTTTCTTTGCCACTAGGTCCGAATAGCTCAGTATTGCCACGTTTCTAAATACAGCATTCAGTGAAGCAGGTTTGCAGCTGTTTGCTCCGGCCAGTGCTGACCGAGGTTGTGACACTTCAAGCAGTTGTTTCAGCTGATAGAATTCTGGAAATCTTTCATCGACCAGTCAGTAAAATTCGCTTGATCAATAAAAGATATTTTTATAGTGATTCTGAAAGTACACATGTAAATAACTCTGTCAAGCGACTTTTAAGGTCAATCAGGCACTGCATTTCCCCCTAGCTTCCGACGAAAATCACGCTATCGTTCGAAATATAAACCACTTTCACCTAAAAATCCATACTGGTGTTGGTATCATAATGACTATGACCATGAAGATAAGTGTTGCTGAAAACCCTGCAGTTCTAGTAAGGATTCAAAGATTATGGGGAACTGTCCCGCTGGAATGCGTTAGCAGCCGCCTAATTTGCATTCAAAATGTACTCAACGAAACCCAGTACTTAGTTGACACTGGTGCGGAGATCAGTGTCCTCCTAGCTATAGAAAAAGGTAGCCAGAGGGGACCTGCTTTCAACTTACAGGTTGAAAATAGGAGATATGTCCTTCTGGACGTAGGTTTATACAAACCTTTTTATCGGATTTTATTTTTCTTAAAGTTACAATACTTATCATAATCACGGCTATCTGCTATCAGTTCCTTCTTCGAGGTTTCTAATGCTCTAATAAGTGAAAGTTCTAGGTTTTGGTGGACTTCGTATCGGAAACTTCTAATCACAGTGGCAAGCGAGTCAATTTGTTTGTCAAACACAACGAAAGATCCAGACCGCAGAGAAATTCACTCAACACCAGCAATTAAACCTTCACCCCACCCCAAAAGTATGGTGGAAGTATGTAGATGACACATTCACTGTACTTAAAACACAAGATATAGATAGATTTTTCGAACACATTGACTCAAAGGTGGAGGCAGTTCAATTCACTGGTGAATTGGAAAGTCACGAAGGGGAGTTTCTAATGTTAGATTCCAACGTAAAAAGGAAAGAAGATGGGAAGTTAAACACTAGTGTTTACAGAAAAACCACACATTCAAACAGATATTTGGACTTCAGATCATCCCATCCTATGTCAGTAAAAATAGGATTGGTGAAATTTTTAAGTGACAGAGCACAGAAACTAAGTAGTACCAAGGAAAATCTAAGACAGGAAGTGATACACATAAAAGAAGCCTTGAAACTTAATAATTACCCGGATAAATTAGTCAGGAAATATGTAAGGAAATGTAAGAATAAAATAAATAATGATAGTAGCGATAGTGATAGTAATAATGATGATAACAATAATACCGATAATAATAATAGTGATAATAATAATATTAATGACGACACTAACAATAAAGAATCTAAATCATCAGTAGAAACCTCGGAAGCCTTACGCAGAATTCTTAACAATGCTGGCAGGGATAAACGCGGATGGCAAACTCAATTGGAAACATGCTTTGTCGATTAAAGGATCAATCCTGTGGAGCCTTTAAAACAAAACAATTTGGTTTATCTAATAACCTGTTGGGATGACTGTCACGTCAAATACATAGGTCAAACTAGTAGAACAGGGACAGTCAGTCAGACTATCCGGACATAAAAACCTAGCAAAATCTAGATTGGTTGACCCAAATAAGATAAGAAATCTAGAGAATAGTTCAGCTATAGCGCTCACTACATGCTGTTACACACAGACATACAATAGGATGGATGGGATAGAATGACAGTTTTAAGATCTAATCTAATGTCACAGGGTGGAGGGAGGCAGAGATTGATAACAGAAGCTTCGTTTCTCGAGTCAACTGCAAACACGTGTAATAGGAATGATTCAACACCTGTTCCAGATATCTGGAAAATTCTACTACCCCAATGAAGACAAATAGGAGAAGACAAAGAAAACCATAAAACTCAAGTTTCGAAGTCGTGTGACTGAAACAGTATTATTTAATGGATGACGTTTCGAACAAAATGTTTTGTTCATAATAAACAAACTAATATGGAATTACTTACTACCACAGTGTCCAAGTTTTACACATATATTAACCAGCAATTAGACATAGGTTACTCATTAGGCATTTAATCAATGCAAAGCACGATTTGTTCAGCAAAAGATGACACTTAGAACCCCGAGTGATTTCATTCAACAGCTTATGCAGTGTGTAAAACCACAGGACGAACACGATTTTTCGAATAAACTAGGCTAAAAATATTATTGTTATTACTAAGTTTATGTGTAGAAACAATTTCAGCCTACTCAGACAGTTCAAGTTCAAGATCGATGTATGCATAAAATGTTAATGATAATAATAATAATAATCATACAGAATGGAATTTTTAGCTTTAAGTAATGAAGTGGAAGAGAGGGTGAAAACATCCGTTTACCAGGGCAAAAATAAGACTGATCACCGCTTATTTATAAAAGCATAAATAGGGTTTCAGGTGTTTAATGGAGATTACTTCGGAAAACTTGAGGAGAATTGAACTGTTGTGTCTGCTGATGACTCTTAATGATTTTGCGACGTCCACCTCATGACCCGTGTCAAGGAGATGCCTTGAGACTCAGACTTTTCGGTACATGTACAAAAAATCGGAGATGTGCCCTAATTTCTGTCCTTTCAATGTAACTGCTACCGCAGATACATGTAAATTTGTGTACACAGTTACAATTGTTAACATGAGAAAGGTACCTGTCGTCTTTTGATTGCACCAAAGAGCATGCTCTCCGATAAACAGAAACCAACTTAGCTGCAGGAGATAAGTTCTGGGTAGCGACAAATTCAATTTTCCGTTGATTATTGACTCTATATGTACATAATATTATATATTACATATACATACAGCTTCAACAACGCACCTCCACTATCTTTTATTTTCTGACGTTCTGTTCAGCTGGGTCTATGATTGCCCATAATCTCTCATCTTTTCCTCACGCGATCTCCTTCATGTCACCCTCTCATTGACAACCCACGAGTCATTTCCCATTCGGGTTCCACTCGAGCGATGGCCTCCATTGCGCGCCGTGTCATTCGACAGCCTTCTCAATATATGCTCGATCCATCTCCATTTTCTCCCACATATTTGTGGTGATTGACAGTTTCTATCTCTGTATTGTTAAAATACTTACTGTTGACTGTTGATATGTTTCTTATATGAACTGCATAATAATTCCGCTAAATACAAATTCCTGAATTCCGCCCTCTCTGTGTTTTGTTTGGATTCTTGTAATTCGGTCATCTCGAAATACTAATACTACGATTACAAATAATTACAACAAATTGGCGTCGCGATGGAACTAAATAACCTTGGAAAATTCCCTATAAATGGTTCTCCGCGGGAAATTGCTGATTATCTTGAATGCTTCGATGCGTGGTGCATTTCAAAGAATGTTCGGGATGACAAAATACCAGCACATTTCATCACTGCTATTGGGCTAGATGCATATAGCCTAGTGAAGAATCTGGCGTTTCCAGATAAACCTATTTCTCTGTCATATGACAAGATTCGTGAACTTCTGATACATCACTTTCATGTAACTACATTTGAGACCAGAGAGAGGGCTCACTTCAACAAACTGGTTCGTTCTCCCAACCAGAAGATTCGAGAGTTCATTCTTCAACTCCAAACACAAGCTTCAAAGTGTAACTTTGGAGATCAGCTGCATACTCAACTACGTGATCGTCTAATTGCTGGAATCAATATTCCTAAGTTAGAGAAAGAGTTAATTCAGATTCCTTCTTGTACCTTTCAAACTGCTAAAGATTTATGTATTACATATGAAGATGTCAACAGTGAATACTCTGCTCCCACTACGTCAGTATCTGATGTCATGCTGTCCAAAGTCGAAAATACAAGTGGTCATGGAAAGCAATCCAAACTGCCGTCCACAGGTAATAGAATGCAGCGAGAGATCAAAAACATTAAACCGTGTTTTTCCTGTGGAAAGTTACATCTACGAAGCACTTGCCGTTTTCGGGGTGCTAAGTGTCACAAATGTGGTAAAGTTGGACACATCAAGACTGTTTGCAGAAGTTCGAATACTTATGTTACTCAGAATCCTGATAATTCTTCCAATTTATCTGGTAAAATGCAGTCGATGTCTCTTTCAACTTTTCCCAATACTCAATCTCATCTAATGAGAACCTTCACTACAAGTTCAGGCAAGTCCCATTGTTTTATAATTGATACTGGGAGTACTGAATCTATAATTTCTAAGAAAGATTTACAATCGATTTGTAAGAATGTCCAGATAGACCCTACTACTAGTTCAATTACAGGCATAACTGGTCATAAATTACCTCTTATCGGTGCTACTAACATTTCTTTGAAATCAGACAGTGGTAATTTTGTAAATATTCCCTTTCTTGTTAGTGAATATGGTCCATCTTTATTGGGATTAAAAGCCCTTAGATTGTTAAATGTCGAAATCTCACTTTGTACTGAGTTGTTTGATGAATCTTTGTTCAGAGAATTACTTCTCCAATGTTCAAAGAGTGTAGGTGGTATGAAGATTCAGCCCATCCATCTTGAAATAGAGGGTGATCCTATCTTCCTGAAACGCCGATTAATTCCATATGGATTGCGAGATGCAGTTAAGAAAGAGTTAGACAAGTTGGTTGAGCAAGGCATACTTATGCCAGTTGAGTCTTCAAATTGGGCTACTCCTATTGTTACGCCACTAAAGGCTGATGGAAAAACACCTAGAATTTGTGGTGACTACCGCCTTACACTCAATAGTCGTCTACTACAGCAAAGTTGCACTACTCTAGAAACTGAAGACATTCTCTACAAGCTACATGGCTCAAGATACTTTTCCAAAATAGATCTAAAAGATGCCTATTTGCAAATTCCTCTTGATGAGGCGTCTAGTGCATTAACAACCATTAATACTCCATTTGGATTGTTCAAGTATAAGTTCTTGCCTTTTGGTTTAAAGGTTTCACCTGCAATATTTCAAAATGTAATAAATCAGATGATAGATGGATTAGATGGTGTTGAGTCATACCAAGACGACATTATAGTTCATGGTCCTAATATCGAATTGCATAATGAACGTCTTTTAAAACTGTTCAGGCGTTTATGTGAGAATAATGTTCTTGTTAATCCATCTAAATGTCATTTCACTTTGTCGTCTGTATCATGCTTGGGATACACAGTAGACTCCGAAGGTTTCAGACCTGATGCTAGTCGTTTGGCACCTCTAATTCAAGCACCGTCACCTAATAATATGTCATCGTTGAGATCATGGATAGGTACTCTTCAGTTTTACTCCAGATTCATTCCCAACTTCACTCAACGGTTATCTCCACTTTTTGAGATTGTCTCCAGTAAACAGTTTAAGTGGGAACAACAACATGAGAATATCTTGCGAAAAACTTTGGAGTTTCTTAATAAACAAGCTTTCCTAAGACCTTTTTGTCGAAAGATAAGTCTGTTCTCACTACAGATGCTTCTCCTATGGGTATAGCTGCAGTACTTGAGCAAAATGGACAACCTGTTATTTGTATTTCAAGACGTCTAAGTAAGAGTGAACAAGGGTACTCACAAACCCAGAAAGAAGCTCTAGCAGTTGTATGGGCAATAAGACGCTTGCACAAGTATCTCTTTGGTACTAAGTTTCACATAGTTACTGATCATCAAGCTTTGAAATTCATTTACAATCCAGAAAAATCTTTGAATAAATCATCTGCTGCTATGGTTCAAAGATGGAGTTTAGAACTAAGTGCATATGATTACACTATTGAACATAGATCGGCAAAGGATATACCTCATGCAGACTTCTTATCTCGTTATTCATTATTTGAAAATGCTGCTAATGATACTGATTGCTTATTAGTCCAGCCGTTACCGGTGGATCGAGTTCGACTTATAAATGATACTCGGAAATATTACGGATGAGTTATAAATGCAGGCCGGCTATTTGATCTTCAGTATGGAGCCAGTGAAGACAGCTGCTGATAAAAGTATGCAACCTGTTGGAAATTCTTTTCGTGACACCCTGGTCAAGTTACTGACGCGTATAGAAGGACCGTCTTGACTTTGGTGTTGAAAACGCAGATCTTGTTCCTTATTCTAAATGCAGAAGATTTCCAAACTGGCTTCAGGTTGATGCGCATCAGGCATGTGTATCTCGCCTTTTCGATTTTGACTGGTTCTGACATCTTCATCCGTTCCGAATGCCTGTAGTTGAAACAATGCTGCCTAGCCACCAGATTAGTGGAGGCGATAACCTCTATTAAATCTCTCCCGTTGATGGTGATTGGTGCTGGTTGTTGTTGTTGTTGCTGCTGCTGCTGCGGTTGTAAGCAGTCAATGAGAAGCCGATGAAATAAGCAATGATGGTACCATTTCATTTTGCACAAACCACCACTGTTGATTTAACTGTATTCAGATAAGTTTTCAGTTCATAATTAGGCTTACAAACCAATGTACAAGTTTGTATGCATACATGTATTTGTGTGCCTAGGTATGTATGCCTCTGTGTGTGTGTGCGTGTTTGTGAATGTGGAACAGAACATATTAAAGCAAGAGAGAAAAGTTTTAAGTTATATATATCCATGATTGTTTACTGATAGATAACTTGTGATATTTTTTGATATCCGCCTATAGAAGACAGAATTAGGATAATAATGATATAATATATCAATAAAGGGAGATTATATCTGTGTATTATCCTGAATACAAAATCATTGTTGCTAAGTGATTGTGTTGATGGATGGGAAGAGGAAACGGAGAGAGAGAGAGAGAGAGTATTATACACCTTATTAATAGGCGTGTTAGCAATAAGTGTTGTTTTTCTACGTGAATTTGAATTTGTTGGAGAAATGACGTGCCAATCAGTCGTTTTGGGATTAAAACAGGTCGGGAAGAGAGCTGCTCAACTATCTACCTATAATATATATATATATATATATATATATATATAAAATCCTTTAATTCCTAGAGGAACATAGGGCTTCAGCTGCGCATCTCCATTGCATTTTGTTTTCTGCCAACTTTTTCACCTCGCTACAAGTCTGCCCACATGCTTTCATCTCCTCTTCACATGACCTCCTCCAAATCACCCTTGTACGACCAACTGGCCGCTTCCCTTTAGGGTTCCACTCGACCAATGGCTTGTCTAGTGATGTCACTTGATGGTTTGTTTCCCCAGCGTATGGCCAATCCAATCCACCTCCATTTCTTCCTGCCTATTTGTTTCACAATCGGTTCCTGGTCGGTTGGTTCGCTCACTGTCAGAGATCCCTGTTCCTGATCTCTTCTGGCCAACCATCTGATCTTGAGCGAAGCATTGAGCGAAGATAACTGTTGATGAAGTTCTTAAGTTTGTTTGAGATGCTCTTTATGACGCGCTGGCCAAGTCTCTTACCCGTATGTTAAGTAGCACTGACTGGCTTCACATTGGAGTTGAAAATCCGGATGTTATTTTTGATGCTGAACACTACTGTTGACCTCCACGCAGACTTAAGGGTAATGAAAGCCTGTTATTGTTAATAGCCTTATCAAAGTATTATTAAACAGGAATTAACAAAATCCACTCAGCATATATATAACAAAGAGTTAAGAGGTGAGAAAATAGACCAGTTAGGTCAAGTTAAAGGGACGTATAGAAAGTCAGAATAGTAATGAAGATCACTAAATCAAATATCAAAGGTAATAGTACATCTGTTATGGTATCAAAATAAAGTTGTCTAACTTGATCATCGTTCGTTAGTCTGGGGTTGTTTTTTGTTGTCAAGTTGGTCAATTGGTAAAGATAACAAAATCAAGTGTAGAATGTTGGATTCAATCAGTGTGTAAAATTATAAAAGTAGTGTGTGTTTACATAGTGAACTTGCTTATCACATTCGTGTTGATTTTGTCACTGCATGGGGGATGTTGGGAGGTGTTGTGACCAGGTCAGATTCTGTTTTAGCCCATTATTCCTGTTCAGGGAATTTGGATTCCACTTGATATGAAGTGCTTTTGATATTAGAGGTTCTTTGTGATTTCTGAAATGTTTTTTCTGGATAATGATTTCAATATTGTCAAAATCAATTTTGTGGCCTGATTCTATAGCGTGCCGTGGCTGATGATTTTTCAAGTTTTTCTAGTTCAACTGGATTTATTTCTCGGTGGTCGAAGAGGTGCTCTACGGTGTTCATTTCTTCTGAATTTGATTTCTCGAGATGTTTGTCCGATGTAGATCGCATCACATTCCGAGCATTTTATTTTATAGATACAATTAGATAGAGAATCTTTCGGGATTTGGTTTTTTTATATGGACAAGGTTGCTTAGCTGTGTGTCTGATGTTTTGAAAAAACTCTTATGTCGAGGTTGTTGAGTACTCTTCTGATATCGTCTGACATCTCTGCTATATATAGAATGACGACTGTTGATGTCCATGTTTTCGGAATACGTTTTCAGGCATACTTAATGCCTGTGTTGATTTTGTTGATGAAGTTCCTTGGGTAGTTGTTTGGCTTGAGAGTTTCAGTAATGTTTGATATTTCTTCTTCCTCTTTTTCTTTCTCATCTGTTATCAGATAGTGTGCTCGTCTAAGAAGACTTGTAACAACTGAAATCTTTGCGCTGATGGGGTGTGATGATTTGAAGTCTAAATATTTATTGGAGTGGGTTTTTCCTCCTGAATATGGATATACTAAAATGTCCGTTTTCCTTTCTCTTAACTATTCATTTTTTTTATTTTTTCCTACACGTTCCCAGTGGAACATAGGGCTTCAAGCTAGAGGCTTGAAGTTTCTTTAGCAGTGTTTATTTTTGAGGATGGGGTTGCTAGCCTCATGCCCAACCTTTCCTCTTCACGAGCTTTACTTCTGGCTGAGTGAGGTAAAGGAGTGAGCCAGCCGAGGATCGAACCCCGGACCATGTACATGGTTTCTCCTAACTAGGCAGTCTAGAAATGGTAGTTCACCGACGTCTGATTCTGCCTGATTCCGAAGTGAACTGGATTCTGGGAGATACACAGTTTATTTTCTCCAAGAATGAATTGTGTAGATCTCGTTTTAGTACTACAAAAGTATCATCAACATATCTCAACCATATTTTAGGAGTGAGGATGCTTGAAAAGATGTTATTTTCGAATGTGTTCATGCAAAGGTCGGCGACTACTGAGGAGACTGGTGAACCCATAGCAACACCATTTGTCTGTCTATATAAACTCCCTTTAAATGTAAAATAATTACTTTCTAGACAGAATTTCAAGCTGTTTTGTTGTGTGTATGTTTTTTTTTCATTTCTCTTGTACATAATTCAATTTATTTATCTAACAATGAAGCAATCTACTAAAGATAATTTCATATTACAAGAAGACAAAAGTTTACAAAGTCAACCAAACTATACATTAATAATAATAATAATAACAATAATAATGATAGAATTCATAAATGTTTGAAAGTAGGCAGTCCATTAGACAACACAAGTGCCAACATCAGTTTCGAAATATTCCACTTGAATAGTCACAAAAGTAATACTTTTTTTTTGCTAGCAAGATGTTTGATCTCATATCATTCTCTCTTTTCTCAGATCATCTGTTTCTTTTTTTCCCCTTGAACTTTTGAGAGAGAGAGAGAGAAGCACTTTTATTTTCTGGTTTCTAACATTACTACTATTGCTATTATTACTATTAATATTACTGGCGAACGAAAGTAGAGGTTGTGTTTGAAAGTGAATGATAGGCGAAACTGGAGAGTTATGCTGACACCTGTTAATAGCAATATATAATGAAAGAAATATGCCTATAACTCACTCTTATTCTACATATTCGATAGGATAAAATTAACCATCATATAATGACACATAAAGGATACTTCAATGCTAACCTTATTTTCATTACATTTCACACAAACTTTGCTGAGAGCATTCATTCTTGAACATTCCTCCTTTCTATTATATCTTTTTTTCTTTTTCTCTTTTATTTTTGCGTGTGTATATGACAAGAACGAAAAATGAGGTCAAAGCTTACTTAACCTATCCTTCCTTCCTTCTATCAAACAAGCTATTAGTTAGGAATTTAATTATATTCTCTATTCTTTGTTGAATATAATATTCATAGAGAGCGTGCAAAAGAGAGTGTGAGAGATCAGAAGGCTATATATGCACACATAGGTGTATGCATCTATAGGCTTTCGAAAAGTTCACCAAAGCATAATTAAGTGTGCATTGAAAATATCTATGGCAAAGCTTCGTTCATATATATATATATATATATATAAATGCATAACCAAAATAATAGGCAAAAGGTAATAAGCGTCTCAAAAAGGCAGACACATACTGAGGACAGAGAGACAGAGAGAGTGAGTGAGAGAGAGAAAGTGAAGGGGAAAAAGAATGGTGACTAAGCAGATTTAAACCAAAAAATAGTCAAATTACTTAATCTCAGACAAAATGAAAGTATTAAGAAGAGAGAAAAATGATAATAATAATAAAGTTTTGCTGTTTTGCCTAAAGCGCTTTCAGTATTATAAAAAGTGCCTTTTTTTGTCTTATAAATAAAACATACATCACGAATTGGTAGAAGTTGAAATTGATGGGCTGACCATTGGATTGAGTCCCAATGGTTGAATGGTCTACGAGCTAGCTGGTCTTGTGACTGCCGGTGGGTGCGTCGTAGTGCTGAAGAGTCCCAAACTAGACTGACAAAACAGCTAGCTGTCCAGTACTCCTAGGTTGGTTTCCAATGGTTCGCTAACTGATGTCAGCTCATGATGAAATCCTGTAAACAATCAGTCAGATCCCTACAAACCAACACTTGACGATTGTATCTGTTTCGTGAAAGGGATTCCAGCGAGAGAAAAATACCTGTTGTCAGAGATTCTGACTTCTACGTTTCCGTACAGTATTTGAAAATCCTGATTCAGCACATCAGATTGATGATAAAATGTGTGAAACAGTTAGTGTAACTTAAGGTTTATATTAATTGATGTCTGGGAAGATTATTATCATAATTTTTATGCTGAATTGTTTGAGCTAGACACCTTTGACTCTAAAAAGTGAACTGTCGTAAAAATGGACACTTTAGGCTCGTGTTAGATGGTGTTTTTACATAATACTAAGTGACAAAGTAATAATAACTGTGATGTGTTTAATCATTTCTTTGTTGCAGACTGAATTCTATCAATCAGGTTTGCGATGTGGCCACCATTCTAGGTAGCTCGTCATCACGGTGCACACTGATTTGATGATATTAGATGGTTGAAGGCAATCGACAGGAATCCTTCAAACTAGGTTTAGTGCCAGCTGGCACTAACCAGTCAACATGGAGTATCTGCGACCGTGAAGGAACTCATGTCCCCTCTGAGATTCGAACCCACACCGTCTAGTACCAGAATAGCTCATTGGTAACCTCCCTGAGTGCAGCACTAGATGATGCGCGTTCGAATCTCAGAAGGGACATGACTTCCTTCACGGTTGTAGAAACTCCATGCTAACTGGTGAGCGCCAGTTGGCACTAAACCTGGGTTGAAGGCTTCCTAAAGACTGCCTTCAACCACCTAATAGTTTTCTCCCATTAATGTATAGCCTTCACATCAACATGGACCTAGTTCGGTATGTTCCCTCATCCTTCAGTTTTTGTTGTTGTTTTGTTCTCTGTGTGTGTGTGTGTGTAATTTTCTCTCTTTGTTTTCATTCAATTCATCCCAGTTTTTTCAGTTATAAAATCAGTTATTTTAAGTTTGTTTCCATGCTCCTTTTGATCACACTTGTAATCCGTTTAGAATAACCATTTTACAATTATATTCTAATCCTGTGTAATTTTTTGTTTCTATGCCTCTTGTAATCTATCTATATTCACACCTCCTAACTTACATTTCAAGTTGAAAATTTTGATTTCAATTTGTTTCCATGCTCATTTTGTTCACACCTATAATTCGTTCTATCCATGCGTAATTTTTGTCTCTAAGCCTCCTGTAATTCATATCAAGTTGAAAATAATTATCACCTTTTATTCACCTTTAAAACTCTTATTTCTTCAGTTATCAAATATTAATTTTGCATACCTTGTAACTGTTTTCTAATCCTATGCAATCTTGTCTCTAAGCCCCTTGTAATCTATATTCGTACCTTCAAACTTTCATATCAAGCTGAAATTTATTATTTCCTTCGTTACTATGTGGAATTAATTAAAAATATAATAATTGTATCCATGTAAACTGATGTGTATATAAATGCGATTGTACAGCTGCTTTTGAGAATGAAATTGCCGAAAAGATCGTCATCTTTGCTGAACTTCTTGTTCTTTTCAACATCAAAATCTCTTTGCTTACCCCCAACATATATACTTAATCTTGATTCGGTCTAAACTAGAACACTACCAGTCTAAATGTCTTCCGGCCTGCTGAAATTGCTTGGCTAAATAAATTTTCCATTCATCAAAATGCATCGTTTTTACTCCATTTGAAAGTGTTTTAATCTTCCAGTTACCACAGTCAGTGGCAATCCGTACTCACCCACAATTTCAAAATAACTTTCCACTTTCTGTTAGGAATTTTTCAAATGGAATGGATGAAGAACGTTGCGGAATATCATCGGAGCATACTTCGGATGGTACAAGATCACTTCAGATGAACGCAAAACAACTTCAGGGTCATCTTTGGAGTAAACGAAAATCTTGCCAAAAGAGTGCGAATCAAACAGCAAAATCTGTGTTAATCTACATGTTGAATCCTGAACTCTGAATACAGAATAAGTGTGTTCAGTTACTGAAACTTCAGTGAACCTTGTTATGTAATTTTTTCAAAATTTTTCCTCATATTTCCATTACAACATTTCAACTCGCCATGGTTCTAATCATAACTTGAATCTCTTCAAGTTTAATTTGACGTCTACTCATTCCTGTTGATTATATTGTGTCACTAAATTTAAGCATTTAACTGTATTCTAGTTACTCCTGGATTGATGCTTTCTGTATTTCGTAGTGGGTATAAAAAACTTATGGTTTTAATGATACATCTTAGGAACAAGTTAGTGAAACCTGACAAATAATGTTGTCATCATAAATAAAATATGCTCATTGATGTGTTATGCTATTAAATGGGATATCTAGCAGGTTTCAGTTTAGGTTCGGGAAAGATTAAGTTACAGTTTCGGCCAATGACAAGTTAGGGTTAGGTTAAACTAATAAAGGCGACACTAGAGTTGGTTCGAGTCAGATTACACTCGTTTTAGAGATATTTTCTCGTTAGCGTTGGTTGGGTTCAGGAAGAATTATGGTTATTTTCAGGGTTGGAAGACCTAAATAATTAAATGCAAAGAATGTGGTTAAATTACTCTATTGATATAAGAATGGCAATTGTGCACTGTGATAGATTATAATTCCATTCTGGGTAAAATTTATTCTGATAAAGTCTCACATTGTTATACAGTACTAATTACTGATGACAGCGTTTCGAACGCAGTTTATTCCTTAGTAAATTTTACTGCATAGCACCATGAGACTTTGTCAAAATAATTTTCGCCGACAATGGAATCATACTCTCTTGATACTCCAACCTAAAACTAAAAACCAACGACCAGCATGCGTTCAATGTCATTGGAGCATTCGCATTCCTGGGACGCTGTTGTTCAACTTCGCCATATACATTTCATACACGAAAATGTCTCCTTCATGCGACTGGTACATTCGAGGTCATTCGCTGATTGATAGTTAGTGCTGCTTAAAGTTTAACTTTGCCCTGTTACGAAGGTGCACCATACTGTAGTAATGTGATACAGACAGTGTGTTCCAAAGGAATATGATTCTCGCACATTCCCACAGTTCTATTCGTAATTACTAACAGAATACTCCATATATTTATTCACACTATTATATGCTGCATTAACAACAAAACACTATGTATCCTTGAACATTCTATTTCATGTTTGATATAAACCGAAATCACACGCTCAGTGATTGGTCAATGAATATAAACTGTAGACATATAAACAGCGGTTTGATTAATGAGAAAATACATTGGCTTGCGTGTCTTGCCATCTTTTGTTCAATTTGGTGACACTTTCTGCCGACAAATGGAAAGCCTACAACTTGCAGTTTTCGATAGAGACATATGGATCTTTCAGGAGGACTTCGAAGGTGTTGGGCAGTTGTAATTTCAATTAGAATGTAACGGCGCATCCTTCGAAAATGTCTGGGACATCAGACTCAATTCTAAAGAACTAGGATGTGTGTCCATCAGCTGGAATTCATCATAAGAAGGAATTCTCTATCGGAAATCAAAGTAGCTTCGTGATTAAATGGTGGCTGTGTTTTCTCTCAGAGTGTGATTTTGATTTACATCAAACAACATGAAATAGAACGTTCAAATATACAAAGTATTCTTTTCTTAATGCAGTATAATCTAACATCAAATAGAATCTTCAAATAGATATATAGAGTATTCTGTTGCTAATGTCGAATTGAACTGTGGGAATATGTGAGAATTATATTCCATTGGCACAGATTGTCTCTATCACACCACTACAATACGACACTGTTTAACACATTTACAGGGGCATATGATACAAAATATTTCTAGTAAATATGATTCGAAATTCCTCCATTTTCTTTACGGATAAAAGAAGTCGTCAAATAACACAATGTTAAAAATTGATCAAAAACTCGTTTATTACCTCCCACATGTCTACAATGAGCACTTATGAAGAAAACTGTAAAAATAAAACAAAAGTTCCTTTTTCTTTTCTTATTTTTTCAGTACACTTGGAGAGCCGGCACAAAAAGAAAATATAATGACCACAGTAAACTACTGCTACATTTTTGTCTGTTCAAAATAATTTGATTATCTTGAATACTATATCAATTTTCGCATCTAAAATATATATATGCACTTTTATGTATTTATTTTATTATAATTAGTCGTTTGCCGCCAATTTCAAACTTGGCGCCACTGAAAATGTATCATGATTTTATTTTTCGTGTGGAAATGAGTTTATGCTGTGAAGATAAGCTGTCTGTCTGTCTGAATGAATGAAAAAAAAACGCAAAGGATAAAAATATGTTAGTTTTTCTAAAAGGTGTAAATTTTATTACTTTATTGTACCAATGAATTGACTAAATCTTTGAGCGGAGTGAAATAACAAAGCTTTAAATTTATTTAAGCGACTGCTAGTTTAATTATTATGCTTCTTGTTTTCAATTCTGATAAATAGATAAATAACGTTTTCTTTTCTTTTTTTGGTTTAAAAACATAAAACATTTTACAAAATATGCTTGTATATGTAAGATTTATGCGGAATCTCCATTCATATCTTTTTTCAGGTTTGTATTAGCTTCTGAAGTGGCTTTAATGCTTAGAAATCTTTTTAACTTTGAGGAGGAAGTCTTTTTAATACTCGATGTAGCAGCCGATGTAGTAGCCTGTTCTGATTGCATATTCAGTTGTGTACTTGTAGTAGTACTTAGCTGTGTCGGCATATCCAGTGCATCAATAATTGACGCAGAACCACTAGCACTGGGGTTAAAATTATTCCCACTAAGTACACCAATGGTTTCATTTGTTTGATTTTCATTGACACGACGTTTAAATAAAAAAGAGAATCGTGATCGGGATTTATTTTCACCAACTAGTGTCATATTACGTCGAGTTTCCATTTTCAGTAGTTCTTGAAATACTTCTTTCACGTTAAAATTTGATTTTGCTGAGGTTTCCATAAATCCACATTTCCATTTTTGAGCTAATGCTCTACCGTGTGCAGTGCTCACCTCACGATTATCATTCTCGTCAACTTTATTGCCAACTAGCATAATTGGTACTTTGGGTAATTCATCCATTTTGATTAATGCTAGCTCAGTGTACAATGGTTGTAATTCATCGAATGATGCTTTATTGGTTATTGAATAGACAAGGATAAATGCATGAGCTTTAGTGATACTTAACCGTTGCATAGCAGGGAATTGATGACTGCCGGTTGTATCAGTGATCTGTAATGTACACACTTGTCGATTACAACTGATAACCTGTTCAGTAAAACAAAATTAAAAAACACACAAACTGAAATGAAAAGTTTAGAGTAGAGTAAATAAATTTTAGCTGAGAAGAGGCTAAAGTAAACAATTAATCCATAACAACATGCATTCTTTGAGAACACAACATATGATGTCATATGAAGTATTCGATACAGAAATTATTCAGCACATACCAATGAAATATAATTGCAGTTATTAAGAGATACATGAGAACGACTCCATATCGAAGTTATCCATAGTTTTTTAGAAATTGAGCTTGACTTCCGGAGAGCTGGATGAATCTAGTTAAGATGCCTAAGAATATCTGGCGCGTGATGTCATTCAGTAACCTCCTTAGAGTATGTCTAATCCATCTTCGTTTCGTCCGGCATATTTCTTGGACGACTGGTTCTGGGCAGCTTTGTGCCTAGGTGTTTGTTGCTAACCATTTCACTTCATTTTTTGGATTGGACACTGGTCAGTAAATAGAGTAATGTCAGAATGAATTCTGTCAGTCAAGTTTGCAATGTGGCCATATAAAGATACGCTTGCTGACTGGTGAGTGCTAACTAGCACGGAACCTAGGTCCAGGGGTTCTTGTCAATTGCTTCCAACCACCTAATATCAACAATTTAAAGTGCACCGTGATGGTGAGCCACCTGGTATGCTGGTCACATTGTAAACTTGACTGATAGAATTCAGTCTACACCAATTATAAAACTAGACATATTACAGTGTTTATTGACTAGTGTCCAGTCAAAAAATAAATATCCAGTACGGTCGTACAGTAGGTCGATCAAGAAGTCGAATAGTTCAGTGGTAACGCCTCATACTACAGCACTGGGTGACGCGGGTTCGAATCTCAGAAGGGACGTGAGCTCCTTCAGGATTGCAGATACGCCTTGTTGACTGGTGAGTGGCATCTAGAACGACACCTAGGTTGAAGGCTTTCTGCCGGGTGCCTTCAACCATCTAATATCAACAATTCACAGTCACTGGACAGTCAGTATAAGAGCAGTGACAGCAGATGTCAACCAGTTTTCAGCTGGCTGTTGGAAACAGCCTTTCCTCACTCTTTGAGCCAAATAGAAACATTGGCTTGACTTAAAGTTAGTGTTGCTTTTGTTGAGTGCGACACATTTCTACCCCTATTTCAGAGTAATGAGTAACTAGCTTTCTTTTTTGATCCTGGCTGGTTTTAACATCCTCATCTGTACCGTTGCCTTTAGTTAAAACGATGTTGCCTGGATAAGTGAAAGCTGCAACCTTCTGCCATTGAAAAGGACTGGTGCTTGCTAGTGTTGTTGGTTAAGTACCTTCATCACCTTTCTCTTCCGTATATTCACTTGAAGTCCCGTCTTCGCCGCCATCCTCTTCTGCCAACTTGTAGGTTTTTATCTATAGATCTTCGAATTTGTATTACACTGAATAACTGAATTAGCTGCGCTCAGGTAAACTATGCTTGCAGGACTCCAAGAGACCAATATACAATAACTCCATGATATGACAATACTTCTCAACCCGACCAACGTCTGCCTCGTCCCAAAGCAATCTACTTTCATTACATACTTACATGAATAGTGCACACGCGAACATACCACATGTTGAAAAAATCTTATTAATATATGTGTAAAACTTGGGCACTGCGGTAGTAAGTAATTCCATATTAGTTTGTTTATTAGATGTATCACACACAGTGAGTGAAACAGTATTATTTACTGGATGACACAGTTTCAAACAAAATTTATTGTGGTTCATAATCATTTCATCAATTATAATCACACGACTTTGAAACTTGAGATTTATAGTTTTCTTTGTTCTCGCCTATTTGTCGTCATTGGGATACTAAAATTATCCAGATATCTGGGACAGATGGTGAATCATTCCTGATACACTTATTCTCTCTGAGTTGATTCGATAAAGAAGGCTTCTGTTATCAATCTTTGCCTCCCTCCACCCTGTGACATTAGATTTTTAAACTATTATCTTATCCCATCCATCCTATTGTATGGTTGTGTGTGATTGCATGTAGTATGTGGTATAGCTGAACTATTCTCTAGGTTTTTTATCTTATTCGGGTCAACTAATCTGAATTTCGCTGCTAGGTTTTTATGCTCGGCTAGTCCGATTTACTGCCCCTGTTCTACTAGTTTGACCTATGTATGTACATAGGTCATAGAGAATAGTTCAGCTATAGCACTACATGCAGTTACACACAACCATACGATATAGGATGGATGGTTAAGATATAATGTCACAGAGTGGAGGGAGAGATTGATAACAGAAGCTTTGTTTATCGAATCAACTACAAATACATGTAACAGGAGTGATTCAACGCCTGTCCCAGATATCTGAAAAATTCTGCTACACCTACGACAAATAGGAGAGAACAAAGAAAACTATAAACCTCAAGTTGTGAAGTCGTATGTTGATAATTGATATGATTATAAACAATAAATTTTGTTCGAAACCTCGTCATCCAGTAAATGATACTACTCACTAACAGTGTGATACATCTAATAAACAAACTAATATGGTATTGAAACAATCTTGATCGATGAAGGCGTTCAAACCAACCGAATGACATTTTCAAGAATTACTGTGTAGGGATATGATTTACTTCAAGTTTCCTCATGGATTGATATCAGTTAGCCAACCATGAAAAACCACAGAGTACTGTAAGAATGACATTTTCCTACTTAAAATTCTACACGTTAAAACTATATTTCTCATATTGTAGTTCTGTGGTGGTGTGATACAGACGATGTGTGCCAAAGGAATATTATTCTCATACATTCAATTCGGTATTAACAACAGAATACTCCATATATCTATTTGAACATTCTATTTGATGTTAGAGACTGAACAGACTTTCTACGGTTGTATGCTGCATTAACAACAGAATACTATGTATATATGAACATTGTATTTGATGCTGTTTGATGTAAACCGAAATCCCACACTCAGTGATTGGTCAAAGAATATAAACCTGTATAAAAATAAACCGCGGTATGATTAATGTAAATATACTTTATACTTTGGCTTCCGCATCTTGCCTTCTGTTGTTACCAATCTACTAAAGGTTGTCAAGGCTGTAATGGAGTAATGTGATGGAGATCAGAGACTGAAGTTTATTTAACAGTGAGTACCATTACAACACTGGAAACAGTTTTATGAAGACTTTTGAAATGGGATAGCTGAGAATTCAGATGCTTCATTCAAAAGATAGGCAAAATGAAATAATAATTGTAATCATAATAATAATCCTTATCAGACAGTCACTATAAAGTACGCATATGTAGCTGCAAATTAGTCATGAATGGAACTAATCTACGTGTATAAGTAAATCTAAGCATCGATTATAATTCATGAACAAAGCAAGAACAACAATTGTACCAGGATAATATGAGCTCATCTTTTATTATATATATATCTTATCTAATAGCCAATAGAAAAAAGGAAAGAAAAGAAACAAGGTAGGGTGAGTCATGTTTAGATGAGAGAGTAGAGTTATCTAAACATGAAAAAGGTGACTCATGAAATTTGTATATTTTTTGTTATCACCAGGGCAGTGTTAGATTCACCACTGTCTCTTTCTGCGTACTAATCCTTGTTTCTATATATATATATATATATATATATATATATATATATATATATATATATACGCAACCTTGTTTTTTTGTTTCCAAGCCTAATTGTCTAATTATTCTATAAATAGTCAGTGTTTGTAACTCCTAATCAGTTAAATCATTCCGGACTAATGTTAATTTTACTTCCTAACAATTACTCCTTATGATCGTGGAAAAGTATGTTCATATCTTTAATGTAATTCATATTCTTTTTATCGTTCAGATTGTAACCAGTTGAGAAGAACCCTCGAAATAATAAAAGATGAGCTCATATTATCCTGGTACAATTGTTGTTCTTGCTTTGTTCAAGTTTATTAATGGGAAGAATTGCATGAAGATTATAATTCAAATGAATAACCGCCAAGTAAATGGGCTAAATTTACTTCCCTCTATCATCACCGCCACTATCGAAACTGAAACAATTTTCTATTGATCTGATCCTAGCATTCTCTTCCTCCATTAGGATAAATGTCACATGTTGACGTGTAGTTAGAAACTGAAGTTATGTTCAGTATTAGGTGTGATGATTGATATTTAAACAACACACGTAGTCGAATCTGCATTCCAAGTCGCGTATGTCAAAGAGGAGGAAATTATCACGCCACCTGCATTGAAAATGACTGGCTAGAAAAAGTTATGTAAATATGAACTGTTTTATCATCTTGGTGCATCGAAAAGCTGATTTTTCTCTTCTTTTTTTCACTGAACTTTACAAGTTGTGTGGTTAAAATGACAGGATCAGCTAGACTTCTGACCACGTAGTCAAGACACAGACGACTTTAAGAGTAATTGTTCATCAGCTGCATCATGGATCTGATAAGCATAATTTATCCAGTAGTTTATAAATTCATTATTGCTTATCTTATCTGGAAATGATGCCGATTAGTATTCTTTATCTTCATTGATTTGTAAGTCAATGATTTAGTCGTAGGATTCTGGTTAACTGCTCAATTGTTTCTCCTGGTTCGATTCCCACGCATTGGATAACTCCATAACCTTGTTTAGCCAGTGGCGAGCCCAGGCGTAACTGGGATGGTATAGACAAATAACTGTGTAAATATCTTATTCTTTCCTTTATGTTAGGAGTGAAGTATAGGGGGCAAAAGTTAAACTTAGAGCAACACTAACTACCAATCACCGAATGACCTAGAATGCACCAGTCACATGAAGGAGGTATTTTCGGGTATGGAATACGTATATTTATGATAAAAAAAATGAAAATTGTATAAAAGTGCTACACAGGATGTCTTTCTTTCACATGTGGAAAGACATCTCCCAGTTTAACAGAGGAGTCTCAATGGAAAAGTTGGACCATATCCTATACATGTATTCATCTTAATGGCATAGTTCTGCGATCCATTAATGGCTGTAATCCTGTTT